AAAAAAAAAAAAAAAAAAAAGTTTCTCAAAAAAAATCTGAAAAATATATATGTTATGTAAAATAATAATACAAACAACTTTTGCCTTGGAGGTATGGTCAAATTCGTAACCAAACTCGAGTTAAAAATCAAAAACCAAAAACATTAATTTCTTTTTTCTTGCTGATATTGCATTCTTGGTTTAGGAGGTCGCCCTCTGCCTGATGGTCGAGGAACAGGCATCATCCGATGCTCGACGATTTGGTCAATGTCCACTTCGCCATCCATGGTTGGGGGCAGCATAGATCTCCGAGAGGGAAACAAATCTGTGGCAGCAAAAGGTGCCAGCTTGGAGGCATGGAAAACAAGATAAGTCCGTAGGTGTGCAGGGATGCGAATCACGCATGAAGGCCCATCAGGTTGATCTTCTACAATATCTAAGATCTCCCAGGGGTCGAAGTACTGAGGCATCAACTTTCTTGAGATCCCTATCTCTTGTCCCAGTTCAGATGATTTTACCCAGACTCTCTCACCTACCTGAAAGTTAGAAGGCCGTCTATGTTTGTTCTCAGATGCAATCATAGCATCTTGAGACTTCTGAATGTGTTCTACGGCTTGCTGCAGCATCTGTTCATACTTGACAGCAAACTCTATGCTGCCAGGTGCTGCAGTAGGTTGCCTTTCTGGTAACAGAAAGTCAAGCGCAGATCTGGGCTTCCAACCAAGATGTAACTGGTTGGGAGTCATACTGGTGTTGTACAGGCTGGCGACGAGAGGTAACTTCTCGTCCCAGTCATCCTGGCTTGGCTTGATATAATGCCTAAGCAAGTGCTGCACTACCCGGTTCATCTGTTCTGCTTGGCCATTTGACTCAGGGTGATTCCCTGACGTCATCTGGAGCTTTGTGCCCATTTGCTCAGCAGTTGACTGCCACAATTCACTTGTGAACCTGACATCCCTATCACTAACGATAGACGCAGGCAAACCGAAATCACGAACCCAATTGTCCATAAACAGTTTGATGACGTGGTCAGTTTTAGCTGYTTYTGGCATAGCGATTAGTCTTGCGTACTTAGTAAAACGGTCCACTATTATGAAGATGTGTCTCTTTCCAGACTTACTGGTCACAAGGGTATCCATGAAGTCCATGGACACAYTTTGACCAGGACCTTYAGGAATCGGCAAGGGCTYGATGAGCCCAAGCGGAGCCTGAGTCCTTGGTTTGTCCCTTTGGCAAACCTGGCAGGTTTCAACATATCGTTTTGCATCTTCCATCATAGAGGGCCACCAGAATCTCTGAACTAAGTTTGYTGTTGTSTTCTTATAGCCAAAATGACCCGTTGCATCGTGACACTCTCCTAAAAATAAACTACGGAAAGACTCGCTATTAGCAACACATAGTCTTTTATTCCCTGCCTTATCAAGGAACAACAAGTCGTCTACCATCGTAAATTTGTCCAAAGTCTTTTTATCCTTTGCCTTGAACCTACGAATGATCTCTTACATGACTGGCTCTCCCTGATAGGCTTCCACCAACGATCGAGTGAGGTCATTAGATATGCCAAACTCAGTTACTAGCGCGCCCAGATAATCTGCCCTTCTTGATAGCGCATCAGCTACTTTGTTGTACGTACCCTTGATAGGATCAAGTTGATAGTCATACATGTCTATCACTTGAATCCATCTCTTGAGTGCGTCCGACAAGATTGGCTGTGTCTTGATCCAGCGCAAAGTCTCATGGTCCGACCTCACATAGAAGAATCTTCCTAGGAGGTGGTGTCTCCAATGGACTAGCGCTTTATATAGGGCGTAGAGCTCCCTCTCATAAGTGGACTTGGCCAACTTCTGAGATGGCATCTTCTTGCTCATGTACTCGATCGGTCTCAACTTGGGCCCTTCCTGTTGCGCAAGGACCGCGCCTATGCCATATTGGCTGGCGTCTGGTCACAACAAACGGCTTGTCAGGATCAAGAAGTTTGAGAACTTCATAGTGTGTCAGATCATACTTCAATTTCTTGAAGTTGGCTTCACACTCTTCAGTCCACTCCCAAGGGGCCCAAGGGGTGTCAAGTCGAGTTAGATCCGTTAATGGGGAAGCTATAGTACTATAGTTCTTCACAAACGGACGATAATAGCCCGTCATCCCCAAAAACGATCTGACCTCAGTAACCGTCTGAGGTCTGGGCCAGTCACGTATGCTGGCCACCTTTGCATCTTCCGGCCTCAATCCATCTGCTGAAATTTCATGACCCAGGTACAGGATCTTAGTGCGACCAAATTGCATTTATCCAAGTTCACTTTGTACTGGTGCTGTCTAAGGAGACCTAGCTCTGTTTTCAAGTGCTCAGCGTGCTCCTCTACAGTCCTACTAAAGATGAGAATATCGTCGAGGTACACGACGATAAACTTGTCCAAGTAGTCATGAAAGATCCGGTTCATCGCGTGCTGGAATGTACCAGGTGCATTGCATAGGCCAAAGGGCATCACCACAAACTTGTGCAGACCGTACCTGGTCTGAAATGCGGTTTTGTGCTGGTCCTCAGGTCTAACAGCAATTTGATGGTATCCGGACTTCAAATCTATCTTTGTGAAGTACCGAAATCCCTGCACTCTATCCAAGAGGTCGTCACTGCGGGGTAGGGGCTCCGCGTTCTTAACGGTGATGGCATTGAGGCCCCTATAGTCAATGCACATCCTTAATGGACCTCCCTTTTTAGGAACAAATAAGACTGGCGCACCGTAAGGGGAGGTACTAGGCCGTATCCATCCCTTCTCTGTGAGCTCCTTGAGCTGGCGGCGAAGCTCATCTAACTCCGCAGGAGACATCCTATAGATCCGTCCTCTAGGCACCCTACTACCTGGGACAACCTCTATTGCATGGACAACCTCCCTTTCCACCACGCCTGTGGGCTCCTCAAAAAGGTTTGAATATTGAGCGATGACTTGTTCTATCTCTGGGGGTGATTTAATGACCTTCCCTTTTTCAGAGACAAACACTAGGTACATGCCCTCCTCGCGATTTTGCTTGTAGTAGTTATAGAAAGACGAAGCGCACATGCAGCCGTAGTTCTCCACTAGACTGCTAGCTTTGTACTTTTGTAGCCTAACGGTCCTACCATTTGGCAACTTGTGTATTAACACCTTTCGATCCCAATCAAACTGTGGTTGCGAGTCTTCGAGGTAGTACATGCCCAGTAGCATGTCGAATGGCAGTTCGTTGCTAACCAAGAAGGAGATCTTGTGGATCACTTCCCCTCCTCCATAGGAGAAGGAACAGGCTACGTCCTTGACATAGTCTTTTACTACCATTTGGTGCTTGTTGGCTAGC